AAACAAGTACCACCCCCCAGACCAACTTCCTAGGGGAAACACTGAATAATGTGTGAGAAATCCACAATTTTCTGTTCAGCAGCTCAGAGGCAAAAAAGGTTTAACTGTTATAATTCAGTCAGTTTAGCAGTTATTAACTTAAAGTTTAGTGTGGTAGTAGCTGAGACTGCTACCCAACACATATTCTGAATGCTAACAGATTGCACAAGAATTTTATTTAAAATTTTGCCAGTAACTTTTTGGTGACAACTCTGTCTGTCAGCAAAATATCTCATGTAACTAATGCACAGGTATAAATGAAATATTCAGGAAATAATCTCTGGGTGTACCTTTTAAACTGACTGTCTTAAGTCAAGACGGCCACCAAAGCCAACTGACTCTAGAAAACACTAAATGCCTATAACTTGGTCAGTTCTACATATATTGATCTACATTTGCCACAGTTTGAACATGACTTGTTTCAGGGTCTGACCAAAACCACTAAAGCTCTGTTTGCTCATGCAGGTGGTGGGTTTTGACGGCTCCACCACAGTGGAGGAGTTTCTCCACACGCTGAATCAGCGGATCGGCATGAGGAAGCCTCAGCTGACCGGGTTCAGCCTCTTCACCGATGATCCATCCGGCAAAGACCTGGAGCACTGCCTTCAGCCGGCAGCCAAGGTAGGACTTAAGGTCATATAAAAAATTCACCACACACTACAGAAGTTTTTGTTTCCAGGTGGTGTATTGAGTCTGATTTGATTGGATCTATAAGATGATTAGATGTGAACGGCGTTGAGCAGTCTGGGTTTTCAGATGCAGGCCAATATAGCCTCCATCTGTGATGGAATTCCCTACTGTCATAGTAGTAGTCTTTTCCACATTATTTTCACTTTACTTGGTGAAAATGATCAATTATTTCCAACCAGCTCACAACAAACTGTTCTGGATCTCTAGCTGCCTCATGCATAACAGTTTCTGAAATGTTCGGTGTTTTTAGTTTTAGTTATTACCAATATAAATTATGAGGGGATTCTGTGATTGACTTYTATGATTTTTGCCAGATCTGTGATGTCATCTCCAAGTGGGAGCAGACTTTGAAGGAGCTGCATCCCGGGAAAAATGAAGGGACAAGGATTGTTCGACTAACGTACAAAAACAGGTACTATTCCTCAGTGAGAGAGACAGCACAGCGTTATCCTTAGGAGACCTTTTAAAGAAGCCATGGGCTCAGTCCACTTATACACTGTTTCATAAAGCAAACATTTTTTGCTTTTTTTCTTCATAGTGTTTTATAACAGACTGATTGTTTGTTTTAAAAACATTAAGGAAACCATAAATCAAAAAGTAAAGAGTTGCTAAAACTGCACACTTTAGACCAAATCTAAAAAAAAACTGCAACAGCCAAACAATGAAAACAATCTGTTGGACTTAATTGGTTTTATAAAAATTGGTGTGTGTGTGTGTGTGT